TTTTTTTTTTAGACAGGATCTCGCTTTGTAGTTCAGGTTGGCCTTGAACTCACTGTGTAGCCCAGGCTGGACTTGAACTTGTGGTGGTCCTCCTGCCTCAGCCTCCCAAGTGCTGGGATCATAGGCGTGTGCCACCACACCTGACCTGGCTTGTTTTTACATTTTTGCTTTTGTTTTTGTTTTTGGCACCGGGGATAGAACTCTGGTCCTTGCGCTTGCGCAGCAGGTGGCAAAACCACTGAGCTAAATCCCCAGCCCAACATTTTAAAAAATGATTTCTGTCCAGAGCTAATTCTGCACATTGGAGGCTTGAGATCTGACTTTGCTATTTCTCACCTTCCCTCTCATTTTAAATCCTGTCTCTTCCTCCTGTACAGCTTTCAGTCTTCCTCCGTGTGAACTTCCCCACTACAGAAGCTGCCGTTTCTGCCTCTGCCTGGTTCCTTCTGCTCTAAACCTCCCCGTTTCTGGCTTCCTAGCCATTCTCTTTATCTCCTGCTGCTCATTTTCCTCAGTGGATTCTTCCACTTAAATCTTTCCGAGTCTACAAATCAGACTGCTCTTTTTTTCCACCATGGTTTTTTGGAGCAGTGATGCTGTGTGAGATGGAGAGGACCCCTTGGAGGCCTTGGAGAGACAGTTCTCTTTCTTTTGAGTGGTGATTCCCATAGGTCAGTGATTTTTCTTGTTTTGGCCAAAGAACTGTCAAGAAATATTAGCTTCTTTTGGAGATGGGAGTGAGTTTCTGCCCAAATTCTCCAACCAAACAATAAAAAGGACCAGCAGGGATCAGGATGGGACCCCCGAGCCAAGGTCCAGCCGGGGGGGGGGGGGCTAGAGTGACACGGGGTGGGGGTGCTCCCTGCAGAGCGCTCAGTCCTGGGCTTTTGCTGTGACCCAGGATCCTCCCAGCACTTCTCTCTCTCTCTCTCTCTCTCTCTCTCTCTCTCTCTCTCTCTCTCACCAAGTTAGCAATTCAAGTTAGCAACTTTTATCTCACCAACGTTATCACTTTCCGACTGAGATTCCTGGAGTTTGGGGTAGTAAACAGCGAACACCCTTATTTCCCTAACATTTTTTCTTATTTCTATGTTGCACCAAATGGCTATTTTTCCCCCAGAACTGGGATTTGCTACCAGGGTTTCACACTGAGCTGCATCCCCAGCCCTTTTTATTTCTTCCTTTGAGACAGGGTCTCGCTAAGTCCCTGCGTTGTCCAGGCTGGGCTGAACTTTCCGCCTCCCTACCTCAGTTTCCCAGAGTGCCTGGATTACAGGCGTGTGTTGCCATGCCCAGCCCCAAATGGCTTTTTGAGTGCAGACTTTGCAGGCCACCCCATCTTGACTATTGCTCAGCCCATCCCTTCCAGAAGTGTCGAACACTTACTTCACCAAGCATGAGAAAACACCTGCAAACAGGTTAGAAATTGGGCACGGTGCACAGTGAGAGTGACAAAGGGATTTCAAAACCATGATGAGATGCAGGAAGCTGATTGGCGGAGGAGACGGAAGTGCTAATGAGGCCCTCAGCTTTGAGATTTTGTCTCTGGCTCAAAGCATGCTTCGGGGCCTGTTTGTCAGGGAATAGTCCTGTGGAGATCGTTTATCTGGGAGAATAAATCAAACACTGCAGTGTTCCTTCCTGCTCCCATTTCCCTGCGAGTTCCCACTCACCGAACTCTTCCAAAGCACCCTTGCAGTGCGGTCCACCTTCCCACCTCTTTCCGCGGGCTCAGGGCAGCACGTGTTGGCGACCTGACAGTCATGTGGGCACAGCTGCCCTCCACCCCAACCCTGGGGAGTGGAAAGGACTTCTGCTTTCTGGGTGGGTCCCAGTGGAGATTCCTGAGGTGATCGCTCTGAATGCCACCCAGTCAGCAAGAGAGGTTACAGCCTCAGCGAGAGCCGGCATCAGCCCTGACGCTTGTCCTAAGTCACCCTCAGGAGCTGGGAAAGGCTGAGTGGGGGCCCTCATCCCGAAGAACCACGAGCAAGCTGTCAGATTACATTCTAGGGACCAGTTGTCAAACAGTATCTGGCTACGGCTCTGCTTTAAACATTTTTGCCTGTAAGAATGTGTGTGTGTGTAAGTGTGTAAGTGTATGTGCATACACATGCAATGTTCTATGTGTATCCATGTGTGCACAGGCATGTTACACGTGTGTTTGCAATGTGCACATGCGTATGTGGCATGTGGGCACATGTGCCGTGTGTGCACCAGTACTGTGTGTACACACATGTGTGTGTACATGGAGACCCCACACACACTCAGTGGCCTGCAGTTTGGAACCACTGCGCTCCTAAAGGGTGGTGGCCATGATGCCATGTGCTCCCCAAAACTCTAACTGATCCCCACGAGAACAGGCAGAGTCATTAATATCCGCTGAGAGTCGGAGGAGAGAGGCCCTCTCTTCCTGTCCTACCAGCTCTGATTCCGATCTCTGCAATGAAGGCTGTTTCTTTGTTTCCATACATCTGGGACATCTGGAGAGAGCTGCAGGTCCCACTGCTGCCCTGGGTTACACTGGAGGGGCTTCCTGTTCCCCATGTCCTGTGTCCCCGACTCGAAACCTGTCACGCTGTCTGCAGGCCGAGGCTCTGGACCGGCTGGAGCTGTCCTGGCTGGGAAGGAGGAGGGTTACTATCTGCTGGGGAAGTGTCAGAGCCTGAGAGATAAGATGGGGCTGGGTGCAGCCAGCTCTGCAGCAGGAGGCTGAGGCTGGAGGCCTGAGGCTGGCAAGAGGATCATAGGGGTTCTGTGTCCCACAGACAGCGCTGGGAGGCCTGCTTTGCTGCCTCTGATACAGTGATGGTGGTATATTTCAGGCCCAGGAGATAGGACAGGGGTGAAAAGATGGAACAGTGTGATGAGCAGGAAAGAGGAGAAGAGGCTTTCCCGTGTTGAATGAAGAGAGGGACGCATCGAAGTGACACGTCCCAAAACGTTGTCCGAAATTTCCTTTAAGCATCCACTGAGTCAAAGCCATACAATAAAAGATTGCAAATTGGCCACATAAAATTGTAAAACTTCAAGCCAGGCATAGGGGTAAACACATGTAATCCCAGCACTCAGGAGGCTGAGGCAGGAGGATTGCTGCCAGTTCAAGGCCAGTGTGGGCCTTGAAATGTAAAACTTCTACATAGCTAGAAAAAAAAATACCCAATAAACATTTTTAAAATAAGTTAACTCCAAAGGTACTGTAGCAGAGATCAGAGTCTGATAAACAAGCAAAAGAAGATACAAAAACAAAAGTGTAGCAAAGACATGAAATTCAAAGCAAAATAACAAAACAGGAGAACATGTCGAACATTTCTCATAAAGGCAGAGAGCAAGCTATGGTCTTCCTATCACCTCTTAGATTAAAAGGTCTGATACCAGCTGGTTGGCAGGGTGTGGGGAAATAGACACTTTCACATCCGGTTAGTAGGAGAGAAGGCGTCAGCCTGGCTGGTTGTTGCTGTCAGAGCACAAAGTGTCCCCGACTTTTAGCCCCTCCTCCATCTAGTGCTCAGTGACAGTCGCTGATGAACAGCAGCGCTCGTGGCCTTCGGTGTGTGCGTGACACACATTTCCACACACGCACGCATTTCACGACAAGGCTCCTGGTAGATGCCATCTTACCATCAGCCCTGTTTTGCTGGTGGGAAGCATACCCAAGATGTTCACAGCAGAGTTACTTACAACGGCAGGAAGCTAGAGACACCGCCCTTCATGGAGGTCCAGTCGAGTGCATGGCTGAATTCCCTGGGATGGAATATGAGGAGGAGGATGATAAACCCTGTCTCTCAGTTGGTGGGGGAAGACCTCTGAGATCTTTGTGTTGTTGTTTAAAAAAGCAAATTTCAGTCAAGTATGGTGGCACATACCTGCAATCCCAGGTACTCAGGAGGCTGAGGCAGGAGGACCACATGATTCTGAGGCCAGCTTGGGCTACAGAATGAGTTCAAGGCCATCCTGAAATACACAGTGAGACCCTGTCTCAGAAAAATGAAGATAATAATACATAAAAGTTCTGGAACATTTCACAAACAGAAGTCATAAAGAAATACGAGGGCCAGGGATTTAGCCCAGTGGTTCCGTCAGCTGCCTTACAAGCACAAGGTCCCGAGTTCAATCCCCGGTACCAAAAAAAAAAATACGGTTGACAGGAGGAGACTTTTACTTTTCATTTCATTTCTTTCTGTACGGTTTTAATATTTTTCAAATCCCATACAGGTTTTTAAATTGAGCTAAACTGTAACATTTGTTGGCGCTTGGTGGAGGGCCAGAGACATAGAGGACAAGGGATTCTAGAAGGAAGCATGGTCTCCATGGCAGAGCCTGGCCCCGTTAGGGTCAGCAGGTTCCTGAGCAGACCTAGTGCCGGAAGTGGGTGGGGTCATGGGCGGAAGTCTGAGACGCTCCCTGTCTCAGCCTGGACCTGCTGGGGCACCTAGGTAGGGCTGTTCTGTTAGGTACTTGGCACAGTTCTTATCAGAATGTTTGTCTCTTGGGGTGGAGTTGAGACAGGGTCTCACTCTGTAGTTCAGGCTGCCCTTGAACTCACTGTGTAACCTTGAACTCTCAGTGATCCTCCTGCCTCAGCCTCCCCAGTTCTGGGGTTACAGGTGTGTTCTACCACACCCATCTTCAGAATCGCTTCTTATTCCAGCACCCTGTCCTCACCCTTCTCTTGAACACCATGGCAGCCAAGAGGCCGGAGAGGCTCTTCCCAACAGTGGGTGCCTGTGGATCAGACCCCATAGTTGTGGGGCACTGAAGGAAAGCAGTGTCCACACCCAAAAGACCCCTGCAGCCCTTCCCTGAGGCTCTTCAGGCACTGGGGTGGTAGAAAGGGAGGCCTTGCCCAGGACTGCTGCCTAGGGGCCCCCACACAGTGGCCAGCCAGCCACGAGGGACAGCGTCCGGATCCCTTGGGCCATGCCAGGGACTCTGTCTTCGCAGCAACACAGGAACTGATGTGTCTGCCAGATTCTGATGACATCTTTGATCTATTCCAGGTACCGTAACTGTGTCTACACTTACAGAATCCTGCCCAGCGAGGAGGACAAGTTCACTGTCCAGGTAAGCTGTCCTGAGGGGCAGGAGGAGCATGTGTCCCATGTTGCCTGGTCCTCCGCCTCCCAAAGCCCAGGCACAGCTCTGCCCTACCACATGATGGAGCAAGTGTGCCCGGGGTTATTTGTGCTTGTGAGTGTGCAAAGGGCACAGTGGTGAAGAAAGAAGCCCAGAGGAGAAAAGTCTGTGCTTGTGGTTATGCAATATTTTTCCCTGGCCCTCGCCAGTGAGGGACAGGAGAGAAGGCTCAGCGGGCGACGGGGCCGAGGGCTGCAGGGCCCACTGGGGTCACCACGCCGAGTCTCACTGCACGGGACTCAGGGCTGAATTTCAAAAGGAAAAACTGCACTGCTCTGAGCCTGGCAGGACCACCCCGGGCCTGGTCTGTGGGACAAACACAAAGGGCTCTGGCTGACCACAGTGGAAGCCAGGGAAGCTATTTTTATCTGGCTGCCTGAACACAGGGGTGGAAGAAGAAGGAAGCACTGGTCTCAGTGTCCTGAGCTGGGTGAGGGAGGCTTTGGGTGAGTGTGTGTGTGTGTGTGTGTGCATGGGTGTGCATGTGTGTTTGTGTGTGTGTTACTGAGCCCACAGGGATCATGGGAAGAAGCGCAGAGCGACCGGGAGAGACAAGCTTTGGTCACCATGTCACAGAGGCCCAACAAGGAAGCCTAAAGGGTTGAGTTGAAAAGAAAGTAGAAGTGAGCTGCTGCAGAGAGGATGACCCATAGCCTGTGATCCCAGCACTCAGGAGGTTGAGGCAGGTGGACCTCCAGGAGTTCGAGGCCAGCGTGGGCCACATAGTGGGTTCAAGGCCAGCCTGAATGACACAGTCAGACCCTGTCTCAAAACACAAACAAGCAAAGAAAACCCTAAAATAGTGTGGTTACCTCTGATGTAGGCGCGTCACCTGCCAGGAACACAGCCAGCGCAGGCCAGCGAGCGCCTCAGTGATGCCGCTGTATCCTGGCCTGGGCCAGCGTGAAACCCTCCCCCCCGAGTTCGCAGTGGGGCTCCCTGAGAGGAGTCACAATGCTTAAGTTGAAAGTTGGCCGGCACCTTTGATCTTTCCCCCTTATGGTTTCTTCTATTCCTTCAAAGCAGAGGAAACTCTAAGTATGACTGGAAAAGGCCTGATTCTGTGGCTTTTGTGTGGCACTGTACCCGGGCTTGCGGAGGTGCAGACTGCGGCTGTCTGGAACCCAAGCCCCACTAGCTTCACACTCTTGCTGCAGTGGCTTCCTGTGACGCTGAGTGGTCCCTGGGATTCGTAAGCGGCTGGCGGCCCTGGTGCCAGGGCAGAGAAAGGTCAGGCTGCTCCGGGACCTGGGCTCTGAAGCTGGGCCCTGGCCGAGTGCCACCGCCGTGACTCGGCTCCTCGATGCTGGTTGGCGCCCTCTTGGTTCCCAGAGTCCCCAGGGGAGCTGATTGGTGAGGACCCCAACAACTTTCCCTGCCCGGGCCTCTTCAAGGCCACCGGTCTGTGTGTGACTCAGCTGTCTCAGAGGAGGTGCCCTGAATCATGTGGACTGGCATGGCTTCCTCAGGCCACCTCAGCCAGGGCAGCAGTGGGCAGTTTTCACAGAAGGGATCCGGCCCCAGAGGACAGGTCTGCTCCCAACCCTGGCACCTGGCCTTGAGCAGCTTGGTAGCCAACACTGGACAATAGGATGCCCAGGTGGCCTGGGAGGTTTCCACCTTTAGAATGCACCTTCCCATGAAAATACAACTCCTAGCCAGGTGTGGTGGTGCACACCTGTACTTCCAGGACTTGGGAGGCTGAGGCGGGAGGATCACTGTGTGTTCGAGGCCAGCCTGGGCTACATAGTGAATTCAGGGCCAGCCTGAACTACAAATGGAGACAGACCCTGACTCAAAAAATAAATAAATAAATAAAAATCAAACAACCAAAAATTCACACCTAAAATAAATGGTGCCAGAGGCCCTAGGAAAGCAAACCGAAGCTCAAGCCTAATTAAGCCCAGTGAGAGGTCCCCAGGGAAGGCTTCAGCAGTTACTGATGGCTGCTTATTTTAACTCGAGTTCCTCTTTTCATTTTGAGGCAAAAGAAACCCTTACACACTTTCCTGGGCTTAGCGTCAGTTTCTAAATAACTCATTCCTCACACCCAAGTCTGTTTGGTGTCCCCAGAACACGGGGCTCTCCAAAGGAGGCAGCTGGCCCCAAGCCGTGCCAAGAGGCCCCAGGGCCTGCTCACCGGGGCTCTTCCCTGGGGGCTTCTTGTCATCACCAGAGCCACCCACCCTGTAAGTCAGTCTACACCCCCAGGCTGGCCATGGCCCTGCACTTCCTCCGTCCTTATTCCTAGTGACAGGGGAGATGCCGAACACTGCTGTTAGGACCTCTAATGTGGTTCCACCTGGAGTGAGGCCAAGGAGGAAGGAAAAAAAGGAGGGAATGAGAGGGCATGGAAGGAGAAAGGTAGTGGAGAACGAGGAAAGAAAACATAAAGAAGAAAAAGGAGAAATGGAAAGAGAAAGAATGGGGGAAGGAAAAAATAAGAATTCAAGAAAAAATACATTAGGTTAGATGGTGGTATTTTGGACAGAAGAAAAGAAATGGAGTGAGGGGAGAGGCAGCTGAGCAGGGGGTGGGGCCGGAGGGAGATGAGTTGCTCTAGAAGACTCTCAGCAGTACTCAGCGGTGACAGGAAGGAGGCGAATTTCACTGGAGGCCGATGTCCCTTGACTCTGCTCTTTGGCAGGGGACTCTGTGTCCTCAGGGATCCCTGTGGCCTGTAAGATTGTGAAGCAGTTGTTCCACAGAAGAACCTTCTGGAGCCTTCTGTCCAACCTCAGGGAGGCCAGAGGAAGGAAGGACGCTCAGCTCAGCTCCTGGGGAAAATGTGTCACACCTGGAGGGGCTTCTTGTAAATCCTGTCTCCTTTTCTGAGCTGGAAAGGGAAGTGACTTTCTGCTCAGGGAAGTGTGACCATTTGGGGCCCTGACCCAAAGTGAGCTGTCCAGCCCCTGCTGCCTCAGAAGAGGACCTGTGCCTTGGATCTGGGAGAGTCTGAGGTGACAAGCACCTGCAGAGATGCCGAAGGGAGGCCAGGCCAAGGCAGCCTTCAGACATGTTACATAGACGGCCACATAGCTGGGACCACATGTGAAGCAAACGTGTCTCTTTAGCTCCACCCTATGCCCTCCATCCCTTGCTCCATTCCCACCAAGAATGAATTGAAAGGGCCAGGGATTTAGCTCAGTGGTTTTGTCACCTGCTGTGCAAGCGCAAGGACCAGAGTTTGATTCCCGGTACCAAAAAAAAAAAAAAAAGAATGAAACAAAAAATAAAAACTTTTCATGATAGCTGGGCATGGTGGCATGGGCCTGTCATCTCAGCCCTCTGGGAGGCTGAGGCAGGAGAATTTTAAGTTAGAGCCCAGTCTGGGCAACTTAGTGACTTGCTGAGACCCTGTGTCAAAATAAAAAATAAAGGATTGGGGCTGTAGCTCAGGGCAAACGACCTGGGTTTGATCCCCTGTACATGAACAAAAAACTGCCTATGATCTCCCTCTCTGTGAAATTCCTGTGCTTCCTGAGGCTGAGATCGTATCCTGGATGTGAAGTCAGGTCAGTGGTATCATGGGCTTTAACACACATTTAGATGAAAAAGGGAGTTGGAAGTTATCTGTCCCATAGGCTCTTGGGCTGCTTTTCCTGGATGTAGAAAGAAGCCCTGAGGACAGGAGCCAGCCCCAAGCTCTCAGAAGAGACTCGAGCCTTGGGCTGCTGGTCTTTGTCGCTGGCTGTCATGCTACTCCAGGCAGCTCGGCTTTAGGGAGCAAAAGAGCAGGCGCTCTCGGGGCTGTTCCGTCACAAGGTCGGCAGTTGGGCCATTGTTATTAAGCTCAGGAAGCGGGTGGCAGCTGCTACTGTTCCGCGTGAAGTCAAGATTCCGCCTGAGCCACCCGGCAAAGGATGTGGCTGGAGCTCAGCTTCCTGAAGTCACACAAGAGGGGGCTGAGAGGCCTCAGGCGACAGAAAGTAGTGTGGCCAGAGCCAGAGGACAGCAGGGCACAGGTTCCTTTATGTCATGACCACCTCATTCTAGGAGCTTGGTTTTGTATTTTGCTTTTGTTTTATTGTTTGTTTGTTTGTTTGTTTGTTTGTTTGAAACAGGGTCTCGCTATGTATTCCAGGCTGCCCTTGAATTCACTATGGAGCCCAGGCTGGCCTTGAACTCACAGTAATTCTCCTGCCTCGGCCTCCCTCTCTGGTTTTTGAATATGCTCTTATTCTAGCTTGTCTGGTTTCTTTCTCAGAACCTCCATAGAAAGCTGAGTCCCCTCATTTTTCTGGCCTTCTGGGGCACATGTGCCTTTGTGACCAGGCCACCCCCAACCTTCTCTTGTGTGGCTGTAGAGCTCCCAGTCCTCTCCCAGGGGTCTTAGAGAATTCCAAGTGAAATCATATCCATGCTGTTTGTCATCTGTGCCTCAAATGACTGTCTTCTTTTTCTTCCCATCCCCCTGGCCATCTTGTTCCTGCTTCTCTGTGTCCCAGAGACTTTTGGTCCACTTTGCCTAGATAGTGACTCTGTTTCTTTTTCTGTTGTCCCAAATATCACAGGGCTGATACTTGTCTCATGTGTTGGTGGGTTTAGACTAGGGAATAGAATGCAAGTGTAATCAATGAGATGTGAGGGGAAGCATTCTATGGGGCTTCTAATAAGAGCCTATCTGTCTTAGGATGAAATGGCCCTATTTCTACCTTTAGAAGCTATCACAGGATATGATAGCTGGAGCTGCTGCCACCATCTTGCAATCATGAGGCAAGGTAGCCAGAGAGTGAGGCTAACACACAGATGGCAGAGCAGAAAGGTGAAATGAACCTGAGTACTTGATGATGCCACTGAATTGGGGAAACAAATAACCAGCCTGGAAGGCACTCTAGCTCTAGACTTCTGGTTTGGTGAGATAATTAATACCTTCTTCAAGTAATCCAATAGGGTTTTCTGTTACCTGCAGTTACAAGTATCCTAAC